GTATATGTATGACCTGTTTGATCCTTATAAAACCGTAAATGTCACTTTTTGCCCTTATCTTTTGTTTTCATGACAAATATGACCCTTAATAAGATTTTTTCTTTAATTTTTCATATCTTAAACATGTAAACACTTTTAACTTGATAGTATGATGTATAAGGTGTCTTAGTTCATGGATTTTTACTCAATGTTGCTTAAGATGTTGAGATGTGTTAAGATCTAACTCATTTTTACAAAATAAACTAAGAACTCACACATGACATGCATAAAACACATAGATCTACACATTTTACTTGTATTCTCCCCCAAAAATCATGTAAAAACCGAAAACAAGGGGGTATGAACTCACCTTGCTTGATTGATCTTGATTTGAAGAAGTGAGTGTGTTTTTGGCCCTAGCAAGCCTTCTTGAATAGATTTCGAGCTTAAGAAGTTTCTAAGAGTGTGATCATGGAATAAAGCTATGTAAGAAGAAGTTCTTAATGTTAAAATGAAAGGAGATGTTTGTGTTTGATAATAACTTACCAAGAAATGATGATTTTTGGTAGAAACCTTCTTGAAACAACACTAAATCTCGAAAATTTAGAGAAAGTTGGAGAAGTTCTTGAGAGTATGTTTGAGAGAAAGTTTTGAAAGTGTATGGGTGTGTTGTGGGCTTGTCTTCGGCCGAGAGGAAGAAATGGAGAGAGGGAAGGAGAAATTTTACATGGAGGGTAAAGATCTCATGGATGTTTGTGATTATCTAGAAGTATGTTAGAAAATTATGTGTTGTCATCACCTCCTAAATCCTCCCTTGATCTTTTTTTTATATCTTGGGCAGAGAATTGGGCTTAAGATAAATGAAGTTGAATTTGCTTGGCCCACTCTTGGTTTCGATCGAGTTTGTGAAGCCCAATAAGTAGTTTTCGGCCCATTGGGCCTTTAGGGTAGTTCACGGCCCAATGAAGTCCAATTAAAGATGTTTAGGGTCCATTGAGGCTATTGGAATTTGTTGTGGCCCAAATTGGCCCATTAGGGTAAACTAATCCATTCTAGGCCCATAATGTCCCAAAATGTCAAGTTTCATGAAAGTGGAACCGTTTAGAGCCCAAATTAGGGTTTCTAGGCCCAAAATAGTCAACTTGGATACTTCTTGGTCCATTTGGCCCAACAAGAAAATCCTAGACCTTATTAGACTTGAACTAGGATTTTTAGAGTTTCAAACTCTTTGTTGAACATAAGAGGTGTATCTGAATGTGCATTGAGTGATATCTACTTAGAGTACATGCTTTACAATAGTTGAATGATTACATGAGAGTAGAATTTCCTAGCTAAATTGCTAGTTGTGACACCTTATTCCCTCGCAGGGGAATAGGAACAAAGTCCACTGAAAACTGCTCATCAAATAACCGAAGTGTACATCCTCTATGAACTCTTGCGACCCTGACGGTGCTATCATCTGCTATCTCAACGTCAAGTGGGCAATCCAGCTCCCCCGGAGCTCTGCTAAATCGCTTGCTAAGTGCAAGCGACACAAACGATCGGCTAGCCCCCGAATCAAACAATATCATAGCTAAAATGTCGTTCACTAGGAACGACCCTATAAACAACACATAAGCATGAGTAGGGATGAGCAAAAGGACCGAACCGGCCGGAACCGGCCCGGGAACCGGCTTCGGCCAAAATCAAGAACCGAACCGGCCCGGCGGTTCTACCGGTTCCGGTTCCGGGTCCGGTTTTTGCCGGTTTTTCGATATTGGAACCGGCTACCTCCTATTTTTGCCAAACACATTTAGAGATGATTTTTCTATGATTGTGATGATTTTGGAACCGGCTACCTCCTATTTTTGCCAAACACTTGCTACTAACTTTTGTCTAATTAGGAAAAATCCAAAGGCGGAAAATTAAATTAAAGAATATAATATATTTACAATTTACTACAAAGACAAAAAGCCGGCTAAGATGCTAAATAAAAAGATATTTTTATATATCTTGTGTTTTGATAAGTTTGTTGTACTATAGTTTTTGTTTACAAGGTTGTATTTTATCCTGTTTGTGTTTTGCTTTTGTCAAATACTATGTTATGCCTGTTGTGCTCCAACTGTATGCTTTTTGTGCTTCAAGAAATCTCACAAAATAAGCTTAATAGTAATTAGTAAATACAACCAAACGAAACGATTGTGTGGTTTTGTTTCATAAACATTGATTAAACATATTATTTGGGAGTGATTTTTTGTTGATTGTGATGATTTTTATGATCTAATAATAAATAAACTATCCAACATTCAAACATTCAACATTCAAAATACACTTTCAACATTCAAAATATACTTTCAAGTTTCACCAAAAAAACAAAGTCTAATATGTGGATTCGAACATCTCTTTGACATTTTGACTAATTCCCCGATCTCTTCTCTGTTAGCTTCAAGTTGTGTATAGCATCCACAATGTCTATATATAATACAAAACAAAAACGTTATTACTTACTAAAATGTAACAATTACTAATAAGATGTTAAAATAAGATGTAACAAGTATTAGTGTATTACCGATAGCGAGGTCATCGTCAGCTAACACATCGTGCACTTCGTCGTAGTCATATATACGCAAACTACTCTTTCTTAGCCAATCTTGAGTACATATCAATGCCTCCACAATCACAACAGACAAATTAGTATGGTAGTCGGTAATTACTCGATGACCGTTACTGAATGTGGATTCGGATGCTACGGTGGAAATTTGCATCCCCAAAATATCTATTAAGAAACAAATTAGTGTATAATACACGACACGAATTTATAAATTAAAAATGAAAATTAGAGTAAAAGAAGGTCGATACCTCTTGCCATTCGAGCAACGATGGGGAACCGCACCGCGTTATTTTTCCACCATGTGAGGATATCATATCCTTTGTCAAATCCGATTGGGTCGTCGTTTAAGTATCGTTGCAATTGACTTTCTGACGAAGTCGAGGGGAAACTTCCCGAAGTCATATAGCTTCCAAAGAATTCATTTTCGTCATCAAAATTAACAACTTCTTCGGGAGTTTCTTGTTGAGATGATGAGGTCGTGTTTGACCTTTCCAAGTATGTCTTGAAAAACTTGTCCAATTTGCATTCGATATCAATAACCTTTGCACGAGTTTTGGATTCTATCTCATCAACGGACATCTTTTTATCCTTGTTCTTGGCTTTAAGCATTTGGGTAAAAACAACTTTCATAAACTTTGACTTGCATTGAGGATCTAACAATGTCGCAAAGAAGACATAATCACTTATAGTATCATAGTCACCCCAATATTTGTCATATTTATCTTTCATATCCGGTACCATAAACAAAAAATCCGGGATGCTTTCATGTTTCCTATGATGTTGCTCTATGTCTAGGATCGCCCGGGTATACGTATGGAAGATAGGCTTTGTTGAACACGAAACTTTTTCAGTTTTCTTCTTAAACTTCTCAAGGAAATCCATCATCTTTTTAATCATCTCGAAGTCTAAATGTGATGGTATCCTTCCCACAGTTTTCTGAAACATTGGATCTACAAAAAAGAACAAAGAAAATACAATCAAAGTTTCATGTATGTTGCTGAAACAATAAACAGATTTGGTATGGTATATTCGAAGACATGTAACTCATTCAATTTTTAACCAAATCAAGCGTTTTTATAGTCAAAACTCAACTACAAATCCTAATCTACATGTAGGAAAAAGATTCAGATCAAAACAAGTTAAATTGAATGAGTTATGCACATTTGAACAACAAAGTCATATTACGTTTTATTGCTGTTACAAAAAAAATCAGATTTGACACTCTTCCTTGCGGGGCTTGTAACTCATTCAATTTTTAACCAAATCAAGCGTTTTTATAGTCTAAACTCAACTAAAAATCCTAATATACATGTAGGAAAAAGATTCAGGTCAAAACAAGTTAAATTGAGTGAGTTATGCACATTTTATTGTCAAATTCAGATTACGTTTTATTGTTGTTACAAAAAAAAATTCAGATTTGACACCCTTCCTTGCGGGGCTTGTAACTCATTCAATTTTTAACCAAATCAAGCCTTTTTATAGTCTAAAATCAACTATAAATCCTAATCTATATGTAGGAAAACGATTTAGATCAAAAAAAAGTTAAATTGAGTGAGTTATGCACAATTCAAAATTTGGACAGATTGCTAAAGAAGTAATATTGTTATTTTTTAGTGCTGAAATATATTTGGTTTTATTTACCTTGATGGCTATATTCGAGAAATGCATCTTTCAGATCGTATGCTGATCTTAGCAATTCAAAGGTAGAGTTCCACCTTGTTGGAGTTTCACCACACAAAAACCTTTGACTTTCTACAGCCGCATCCTTCATGGCTTGTTTAAAGGTCTTGATCCGTTGCGGGGAGGCTCTAATGTATTTCACCGCATCCTGTATGCTTTTTACATGATAATATTCGTGTTTTAACCCCATTTTCACAACTAGGTTTATGATATGAGCCATGCACCTAAGGTGAAAATGTTTGCCATTCTCGTAAATACCGGGTAGTTCTTTCACAATGATGTTGATTGCCGCGTCATTTGTCTTGGCATTATCAACGGTCATCGTCATGACATTCTTCATCCCCCACTCGTTTATGCAAATTAGCAACTCTCGGGCCATGTCTTCAGCTTTGTGAGTATCAACCTCTCTAAAGTTGACTACCCTTTTGTGCATGACAAGATCTTCAGTAATGAAGTGGGCCATGACAACCATATAATTTATCTTTTGACACGAGGATGTCCACGTGTCGGTTGTCAAGTGGATGGCTGTTTTGGGGTTGCTCAAATGTTTGTACAACTTCTGCCTCTCCATTAAATAGAAGGACACAACATCACGAGAAATTTTATGCCTTGAAGGCAATTTCACCCTACCATTGAGGGCGTTTACAAATTCTATGAATGCCTCGTTTTCAATGAATTTAAAGGGTAGTTCCCCGATGGTGAAAAGGCCTGGCAAGGCAAGTTGGATCCTAGTATCATCATGTTTCCATGTCTATACATGACCCTCACCATTAGGAGCTTTCGTAAATGACAACTTTTGTTGTTTGTCATCAACTTCTTTCGGTTTGTTGTCCGGATTTAACTTGCACCCATTATAATGCTTGTTTATTGAAGTTGTCCCATTCCGGTTTGGATCCGCAGCTAGTAATTGTAAACAATAATTACACTCAACCCACTTTCTTTCAATTCCATCTTCCTCCTTTATCCATTCTAGCTCGAAGTAATTCCAAACAGGAGCGGTACAATTTTCTCTACCCTCACCTCGTCTGGTTGGGTTAATCCAGTCCCTTAACTCCTTTTGAGTCATTTTTTTGTTTTTGGGTTTTGGTTTTGTTGGGTATTTTTCTTGTGTTCGTTTTTTTGGTAGTGGTGGTTTTTTTGTTTGTGTTGGTTTTTTTGGTTGTCTTCGTTTTCGTGGGGTTGCAAATTTTCGTTTTTTTGAAGGTTGTTGTTCTTGTGGATCCTCTTCTTGGTTTGATTCATCACTTGGTATAACATTCTATGCCGGTGTTTCTTCTATATAATCTTCTTCTGAATCTTCTCCGTAATCCTATATTCTCAAAATAAAACATATAATAAGTCATATTACGTTTAAATGATGAAAAATAAAAAACATTCTGATTTGACACCCTTCCTTGCGGGGCTTGTAACTCATTCAATTTTTAACCAAATCAAGCGTTTTTATAGTCTAAAATCAACTACAAATCTTAATCTACATGTAGGAAAAGATTTAAATCAAAACAAGTTAAATTGAGTGAGTTATGCACAATTCAAAATTTGGACAGATTGCTAAAGAAGTAAATATTGCTAATGTCTTACTTGGTCATCAAAGTCTTTTCCAATCCAATTAGCCGGATTACCATCTTCATTATTGGCATCATGAACATCTGAGTTTCAGTATCTTGATGATGGTACATTTGGTAACCCATCCAAATCCTACATTGTCAATTTAACACATTAATTATATAACTAAAGTACTAAACAAATTCGTAGTTTTGACAATCTTACATAATTACATTCATACTATAAACAATAAACTAATCTAACAAAAATCTTGCATGTATGTCTACAAAGTACATTGTTAAATGGAACTTAAAACATGAAATATATTATATGTACAACCTTTCATCCGTAAAGGAGTATTCCACTATGAGACTATGATCAAGATCATTTAATTAAGGAACAAAAAGAATGCATATATTTGGAATGGAGACAGCAAAAGCAAAGAAAAAAAACTTGCATGCATCCCATTATAATCTTAAATCATGAAATACATAATTCGAATTATTCAAGCAGTTGAATCATATATCAGAGGCTGCATTGGCGAATCATTGAAGCAAATATATAATCTTAAAACATGAAATACAAATATATAATCTTACTTGATCTTCATGAACATCCATAGTTCGAATCATTGAAGCAATTGGAGATGAAAATTGATGAATGATGAAGAAGAATTGAAGATCGATTGAAACTTGGAGATGCTTGGAAAGTTGGAATCGTACAAGTAGGGTACAACCGTACAAGCCACAACAAACTGATCGATGCTTGGATTGCTTGGAGATGTCGATCGATGGTAGCCTAGTGCTGGTAGGGTTCGTATGATCGTATCTTCTTTTTCGTGACTTGGGGAGTTGGGGTCGCCAGTCGTCCTCAGTTTTACAGATCGCATTTTTTTTTTGTTACGTGACTTACGTCCAAAGACCAAACCAAAAGAAGTTCAAGCGACAAAACCACAATTGTATCCGGTCCGGTTCCCGGTTTTGGACCGGTTCCAATAGCCGGTTCTTACCGGGTCCCGGTTCCAAATATTCACGAAATTATAGTATAGGTCCCGGCCCGACCGGTTCTATCGTGTGCCTGTTCCGGGACCGGTTCCGGCCGGTTCCCCGGTCCTTTTGCTCATCCCTAAGCATGAGTAATAATCAAAGTAAATAAGAGAAGATGGAGAAAATACATACCAGCAACCACATCAGGAGTCGCTCGTGCCTCCTCTGCTGTCAACTGGAAGGCTCTACTCTTCGCCACTGGCGCCTCAGCGTAACCCTGCCGACCGTCTGTAACCCTTAGTGTCGTAGGAGCGGGTACCACCACTTGTCCTGCTGATGCTAAACTCGGACGCTGGGACTTCTTGTGTCCCCTCTGATTGCAATGGAAGAAAATCAGATCAGATGCTGTGGTGGTCGTAATAGTAGTAGTTGTACAGCCTCTACTCATATGACCAGTCCGACCGCACTTGAAGCAGTCAGAACTCCCCGCCTTGCACACCCCATCATGCAACCTACCACACTTGCCACACCGACTGTGGCTCTTCTGTCCCCTAGACCTGTGATCAGACACCTTGGGCTTCTTGCCCGAACCTGCTGCGCCGGACGCCACATCTGGCTTCCTCTTCCTCTCCATCTCTAGATCAATCTCCCTCTCACGAGCCCTCGCAATCATGTCCTCTAGTGTCTTGCAGCTGGAGCGGCTCACAAACTGGCGGATATCACTCCACAACATCTCATGATATCGGGCCTTTTTCATCTCCTCGTCCGCCACATACTGCGAAATGAGAAGGGCCCTCTCCCTAAACTTAGCGGTAATCTCCGCCACAGTCTCTGTCGTCTGCTGGAGGTCCTGAAACTCTCTACCAAGTTGTTGCACCTCAATGACAGGTGCGAACTCGGCCCTGAACCTGGTCGTGAAATCACTCCAGGTTATCGCATCCAAAACCGAGTCATCACCAATAGCTCTTCCGATCTCCTCCCACTAAACTCGTGCCCTGTCCTTCAAAAGGCAGGATGCTAATCTGACCTTGTCCCCCTCGGGACATCTGCTGGTGCGGAACGCGTTGGCGACATCCGCCAACCATCTGGTACTCACAATGGGGTCCTGAGCCCCATGGTAGTCGGGAGCTCCACAAGCTCTGAACTCCCTGAAAGTCAATGTGCGCGATCCCATCATGGCCGCTATCTCAGTACGGACCGCACCCAACTTCTCATCCAGAAGCTCTAAGATACCCTCCTTGACCGATCCAAAAATCACAGGAGTCTGGTCTAGTATGCTGCGTGTGACCTCCGAGGAGATGAACTCCCTGGTCTGCTCTTCTAACTGCCCGGCTCCAGAGCCTGAGCCCGATCCCTCTCCTGCACCTGAACTACCAACTGCTGGTCTAGGGCGTAAAACCACCATTCTGAAAACACATCATAACAAGTATCAGAATACTAATATAACTGGATGGATCACACATACTTCAAGTTCCCTGGTCTCATCTCAGCCTTCCTTGATTCAAGTACGGATCCTCTACTTTTAGTAGTACGGGCCCATACTACCTTCCACATCTATCCGTACTTTCCTCAAGAACTGCCTCGACTCCACCAAGTCCCTTCTACTGCTACTGCTCTCTGCTACTCTCATCCTAGGCTTGCCCTAGGGAAATCACCATCCCACTCTCCGCCATCGGCTGCATAAAAGTCCCTGTTTTCTTCCCCTAACTAGCTCGCGAATACTATTACATATTACTCAGACTAGATAATTCTTCGAATGAGAGATCCTACCCTACAACGGTTGGACTCAAATAAGAGCAGCGAAATAGAGCTAGACCTAACCTTCTGAAATTATTTAGTCCTTGCAATATGCAACTTGACATATTCGTTTACTAGTTAGTGAAAGACAACTAGAACTCCTAAAAGCACAAAGCAAGCAGCATTCGGGCATTGAGTACACATAATCAAGCATCTACTACTCTGGCTATCATACTGACTAATCTATGCTAGCATGCAGTTCTCATAAAGCTGAACACATATATCAGGCACATAAGGCATCCTTTCTAGATCCTTAGTCCTAATCTAGCATGCTGTTCTAATAAAGCTGATAATCATAATATAGCATAAACTTGTATGGGTAATTTGGGAGTACTTACTTGAGCTCGGTCGATTGCATGCACCACACCCTTTTATCTTTTCAAAATTCTTTTCTTTATACTTTTCTGAAATTGTTTTATTTTCTCAAAATCCTTTTTATAAACATGGTTCTTCTTTTGAAAACTTTATATCACTTCCTTAGTTTGAGTTCAGACACACCCGAAAGTGTGCCCGAATCCCTCAAACCAAGGCTCTGATACCAACTTAAAACATCCCAAAAATATGACCCAAAATTTTTGTTTTCAAATCATTATTAAAATCATAAACCATCCAAGTCATAAGTAAAATCATAAATCATGTATCCTAAAACATCATAGTGTCTATCTCAAATCAAGATCTCATAACAAATCATCAGAGTAAACTCCCAGGCTGTGACTGTGGGGTGTGCCAGGCGATCAACCCAAGCCCTTCCCTTTGCTATTGGAAGTACCTGAAACCAAAACTGAAAACTGTAAGCACGAAGCTTAGTGAGCTCCCCCAAACTACCACATACCATACAATAACACATATAACACATACTGGGCCTTGCCCACTGCATCGGGTCCCGCCAGGCATCGGACCGAAGTCCGACATAACTTGGGCCCCGCCCGACATCAGACCGAAGTCCGGAATAACTTGGGCCCCGCCCGGCATCGGACCGAAGTCCGGTATAAGCTGAACATAACATAAACATAACATATAACATAATCATATATACTGCATCGGGCTTGCCCGACATCAGACCGGAATCCGGAACATATAACACATATCATAACATGCATGAATCACGAAGACATCAAGCATACATAACTGCTTCTCGGGACCACCCCGACATCGGACCGAAGTCCGGAACTACTATCATCTAAACGGGCCGGCATTGTGGCCGTAGACCCGTTCCTACTGGAAGGAAACTCACCTCGTATGACTGACTGCTGTAACTTTAGGTGAGGAATCTCTGTCTGCTGCTCCGGTGACTCTCCGACTATAAATTTCCATAAATGTACTTAGTCAAAAACTGATAATTACTCTTAGGGTAAAATGACCATTTTACCCCTGGCTAAAATCAACATCTTCGTCAAAGTCAACACCCAGTTGACCTGACTCGCCGAGTTGATTCACCAACTCATCGAGTCCCTATTCTTTCATCGATTCCCAACCCCAACTCTACTCGTCGAGTCTAGCAAGAACTCGACGAGTTCCCCTTCAAACCTAACATCGGGACTATCTTCATCTGGCTCGCCGAGTTCATCCTTGAACTTGTCGAGTTCATCTTCACCATAAGAGTGTGACTAGTCTGTGACTCGCCGACTTATATGAAAAACTCATCGAGTCCGTCTTCATGGGTTGGGGATTGCCTTGGACTCGCCGAGTGTGTTCATCCACTCGCCGAGTCTCATGGTTTCCAGGTCCATAACTACGTCTA